TTTTTTTTTTTTAAGCACTTTATTTTCCACAGTTGGAATCAGCTGAGGATAGAGTGTGAGCAGTGACTCTGAATTTCCTTTGCTTTTGTCAAACTGTGTCACAACCGTAAAGTTATTTTAACAGAGTTTATTTGCCTAGGCATTTCCTTTCTCTTGCAGTAGTGTAAGAGAAAGGAAAACAACCATTTAAAATGTAAGTACAGTTGAGTGGATATAAGGGACTCTTCCAGCTCCTATCATAAGCAGACAATTCAATGATAAGTATGTGGGCTTTTTAAGCTTTAAAAAATATTCATAAATCCCTTTTTGGCTTCTTTCATTTCAATTTTCTTCAAGCAACTGTGGTGAGAATTGGACCAATTTATAAATTCTCATTGCTTTCTTTCTTGGGCCAGTCCTGATTACTCCTATCATGGTTAATACTGACTCACATAGGGGACTTTCACAAATTCTTCAATATACTGTGTATCTGGTGTAAAAAAAAAAATACGTGAAACACAATAATTGATGGCATTAATGTATTTGGTGAGATTATTCAATAGATTTCCTTGAAGTAACTCTAATGAATTTTTCTTCTGTAGGCCAAACAACCCCTTGGTCTTAGATCCTGCTCTTGCACGTTCATCTGTATAGTGGCCAGGGCTTAAGCTCTGGTACTGTATGAGTATGCAAACAAGCAGATTTCACAATCAGATGACACTGAGACTTAGGCTTACTGTGCCAGACTCTTTGCTGACTGTTCTCTCATCATGGGCCAGCCCAAGGATCTGAGAACCTGCTGCAGTTAGAAAGAAGTCACCTGACCTTGAAGTTTCCCTCCTGTCTTTTCTGAATCGTTTGAACTCTCACAGTCAAGAGTCAGAGCTCTCCACCACGGTCCTGGCCAGAGCAGCATCCCCCAAAGGGCTGCATTTACCTCCGGCAAGAGAAATGCATGTAGAAGAAAATGCATTTTTAGTCCCTATAGACTTTCTATAATGTCTCTGTTTCCAGAATCTCATGTGTGCCTTAAAAACCCTTTCTTCTACATTTAAAAGAACATTTTGATTATATAATAATACCTGGATTTATGCATTAATCTACTGACATCAGAGTCTGTTAATAGATATTTTTCCACTTGCTCCTCATAACAGTCCTTTGAAGGGGGGAGCAATTATTATGAGGATGGTTTTATAGATGAGTAAATTGAATCCCAGAAATTTTAGCTGACTTTTCCCCATATGACCTTGTGTTAGAATCTGGATCTGATTCCTGACTCCAGATCCTATTTGTCTCTAGATTCTATCTGTGCTCTTTTCATCACCTCGGGGGTACAAATCTAAGTAAGCAAACAAAAGCCAAAATAGGATTTTTAACAATTTAACAGAGTGTGGTGGTGTCAGTATGAAATCTTTGCCCATCTGGTTTAGTGGACATAACTGTGCCTCGGCAGAAGTGAGAAGGAGGAGGGGAGAACAAAGGCAAAGTCAAGAGTAACTACACTGAAATTTGGAGAGAAAGCAAGCTGGATATAAGGAAGAGGACCAGGTGTGTAATGGGTATTATGCCTGGTGTGTAATAGGGGATCAGTGACATCCATCATTTGTGGGTGGAACAGGTTTTATTTTGCTTTGAAAGTTTTCTAAATTTTTATTTTTTTATAAAAACTCACCAAATTTACACACCAATCTCCCCCCATATTTACTCACATCTCCCAATTTCTCTGAACATAAATTTCAAATGGATTCTACAAGTGAACAGACAGCTGTATACTAAATAACTCATATAAGTACTTTTGTGTTGACATTTTTGTCCTGTCCCAATTCATGCTTCTTTCAAGATTTGAGGGTAGGTATTCAATTAAAAATATCATTCTTTTCTTAGTCATGAGAATGTACTTGGAACATTTATACTAAGGCCAATTTAGAGATCAGATATATAATGTGGTAGATTCTGTAATATACATGGGAAACCGAATGCCTTACGCTACAAAAACTTGAAATTGGCCCTCTATTGCCTATACTTCTGGGCTCTTTTCATTGCTACTTTAACATTATCTGTGTTACACACACACACACACACACACACACACACACACACACACACACACACACACACACACCCCAACCACCACCACCACACAAATTCACACTTTTCTGGTATGTTATTTACTGGAGTAAAGGTAAAGAAAAAAAGCAAATTAAAAATGTCAATAAAGTTTTCATAACATCTAAAAATTACCTTACTTTCTACTTTTATAACTGAAGTACAAACTCTGGATGACTAGAAATTTAATCGGAAATGCTCCCCAGTCTTTAGCTTGGCATCAGGGAGAGACCTATAACAAGTTGCCTGATTTTCATAAGAATACATTGAGAGAGGGTTTGCAATTCTCACCAGCTGGAGGAGTCTTCCTGGTATTGATTGATTACCACAGTATTCACCTTGGAATGATATAAATATATTGGATATTATGAAGCTTGGACTTTAAAAAAATTATCATTTTGTAATTTTGTTCACATTCTAACTGATAGAAGACACAGCAGATGCTTCAATTTTCCAGGAGAATGAAAAAAAAAATCTTGCCCATTCTTCTGAAATTTAAGTAGGCAGCCCTTGAAAGATCACTGGGAAAAGTCTGTATTTTCTCAGGTTTAACTAAATAATTTATGCATACTTTCACTTTGGCATGATGAAGCAATTTTAGCCTTTAAAACCCACAACTACTCAGGAGGGAAAAGGTCTGGTTCCTGCAACTTAAATAATTTAAACATCCAGGTGGAAATGCTTTCAGCAGTTTCCCTTTTTGAGACAAAGGAAGAAGACCAGAATTTTGAGATACCAAGAATCAAGAATTGATAAAAGACATAACCTCGGATGTATTTAATTTAGAATGGAAATCTTGCAATATTTTTTGAATGAGAGAGACAAGAGTGAGGTGTGAGGTGAAACGTCCGCTTGCCTGCTGTTTATAATAAATGAACACATAGAAAATAGCATGTCAACATAGCCGTAAGCCACACATATATGTATTACATATATAAACATAGCATATACACAAACAGAAATATCTATAAAGCTAATGTAACCTTATAACCCATGTCAGCCCAAGCTTTAAGCATTAGGTAGCTATTGGAGATCTTAGAGGAAGCTTGTGTTAAGAAATATTGTGCTTTAATCCCTGGCTCCTTGGGTTATATAAATGTGTATATCTTTTGATACACAACTAAGTAGAGTAAGATAAATAAAAAGGAAACACAGTGTCACTTCTGTAGGACACAGGACTGCAAAAAGGACAGAAGGAACTACTAAAATACTAGAAGATATTTTGAAATGTAGGTGTCCAGTACAATCAGCCCTCTGAGTCCATGACTTCTTAGCCTGAAGTCAGATTTCAGAACTGCCATGGGGAAATTTACCTTCTCACTTGCTGGTCTGTAATGATATACTTGTAAAGGAGTGTGGGACTTGGAACATTGCCTGTGTAAATTTAGAACACAGCGTATAATCAGAAAGTTTTGAGGGTTAAAAAATTTCCTGCTGTCTTATCAACATACCAAAAAAATACATAGGGCACTTTGTGTTGTAATTTATTGTGGGAGAGAAAAACACTTAACAACTCGTAAAGCACTGGTTGTTATTATTTTTAAAAAATCTTTGTCACATTCATATCTGACGCTCATGTAAAGATGACAATCAGCTAAGGTACAAAATAAGGTAACAGTGAAAAAGAACTGGTTTCCTTTACAGTTGAGCATGACCAAAATTATACAGGAAGGGTAAAAAGAGATCTTGCTACGTATGTATTCTTTAAAATGAGTTCAGGCTTCATTCTCTCATAGAGGAAAACAGGCTCGTAGATTTTAACACTCCGAAACTTTTGGCCTTGTGTATCATAGGCATGCAACATACTGGGTCCTGTAAGGAGAGATCCCGAAGAAAACATGAAGAAAGAGTACCCTCTGAGCCAAGAGGAAAGGTTAAGGTTGGCCAGGACTGCATAAAACAGAGTTGCTCAAACCCGAAGGTCACATCCTGAGCAAGGTTGCTATGTTATGATGATTTCATTCTGAATGCAATTCTGGCTTTGTTTTTGTTGTGGCGGTGTGGGTGAGAGCCACCTAAGTGACGAAGGTTAGAGATGTGGAATGGAGAAGACTGATTAAAGCATGGACACATCAGTGTTGTTAAGGGATTTAAGAAATATTATTCTTGCTCTATGTAAAGAGTTGGAACATCAACAGCTAAGGTATGCAATGTCAACTAAGCCTAGAAAGAGACTGATGTGGGGTGGGTGGTTGTTCTTTCATTTTCTTTTCTTTCTCTCTCTTTTCCATTTATTTATTTATTTTTGGTCATCCATTGACTTTAATTAAGCCCAGCCAGCCTCAGAAGCATGGGAAACTTGGAGAACTTTTTGTTTAAAGTGACCTTGTTCCCAGGATTTGCCCTACAACTACTCTCAGCTCCATTGCAAGGATGAATATTCACATTCCTGCTCTGAATCTTAGAATGGGGCACCTGGCGCAAAAAGAAAATTTCAATCTCATCTTAAGTATAATACTGAGAGCACTGTTTTTTAAAGAAAAAGAAACCTCTCTCCATAATCCTGCTGGTTATACTTCTTAACTGTATTATTTTAAGTCAATTAATTCAAATTTAAAAATAATGAAATTACTAGCAGAGACTCTAAACTTCTTTTAGTATATTAAATTGGGCAGATTGCTTCTCTCCTTCTAATTATGAATGTTGCAGTTACAAAAGAAACTGTCATTTTGATAGAGCAAAAGACAATCTGTCTGCCAAAAATGTCCAACCATAATTCTAAAAAAAAGTCATCGGCATCAAGAACATGCTACTTTGTTTGATGTACTGTCTTATTGGAAACCTGATTTGCTTTCAACCTCTGAGACAACACATAACATAAGTTTGTGTGACTAATTTTTCTTGAAAATATGAGTAATTAGAATTAGGGGCCATTTTCCTAGCAGGAGTGGACAGGTTTTTAAAAAATTCAAAGTAAGTGCTATAGTTATTTTCTTTGCCTTTTTTTTTTTTTTTTTGTATCAGACTCCTAAAACCAAATAGAAGGGGGATGCTGGGCTTTGTACTGGATAATGCGAGTCCCCATGTAAATTGTGAGCGATTGCAAAGTACGGAAAGGTTTATTACCTAAGGTGAGCCCTCCCAGAGCTCCTGGAGTATAAAAGCATTAAGTGCATGTTCTAACAAAGTCATAAAAATCAATAAACAGGAACCCCCCACCTGTGCAATGGCCCCAGTGTTAAATTTTATACATGTAGTAATAGTGCATATCAATTTTCACCACCCTTCCTACGCTAGCTATTACAGAGCCTACCACCACCGGAGGGACAGCGAGAGACGCACCATTCATCCATCCCACAGAGTTGTCTACATGCCAGGCCCATTGCATCATTGTCAGTTTTATTCTATCTGCAACTGGACAAGGCTGCAGCCCTAGCTTCTATACACCCACTCAGTACCGCAACAATTGCAACTGTGTGCCTCTGTTTAAAGAGTTTACAAGTCCTTCTGAAAGAAAAACAGAACCGTTGCATATTAATGCCCCCAAGCCCCGGAGGATCACACAATGGAAAGGGGAAAGACTTGTCGCTTCCACTGATATGTGACCTTGTCCAAGTGCGGCAGTCTGTGGCTTCTCCACCAAGGTTTAAAAAATAATAATGCATTCTTGATAAGCATCTGGATGACCAGGTTTCTAGAGCAACTAGTTATAATCAGAGTGCTCCTTAACAGCCAAAAGATTCAGAGAGCACAGATCACCGTTTTATTATACACATGGTAACATATGCTAAAAATTAGGCCTGAAATATGCAGCATTTTCACCAGGTTACAGAAATAACTACTAGCATCACACTTATTTCATAATTAAAGGAAATCCTCCACCCACCTCCCAACTTTTACCAATAAAAGCAGAAAATATCACTGAATCTGTAACCTTTGTACCACATCCACTCTTTGCCATCCGTTCATCTGTATAGGGTAAGGAGTGGGGACAGGCTTATTAAAACCCCAGCACTTATTGGTAAAGAGGTGTAATAACTTTGGGAGGCATGCTTCACTTGAGGCATTCTGGGAAAAAAGAAGCATAAAAGAAAAAAAACAGCGCCTCATTTTAATTATAATCCAAAGATAACTGCTCTGGAGTAATGAGGAGCATTTGAGAAGAGAGCCCTCATTCAGACACGGAATTTGAGTGATGTTTTTCTTCCTTTTAAATGGTTCTGTTGGTTATATAGTTTTAATGTGCCTGAAAAACAAAAGAAGGCCCTTGGTGATGACTCCGCTTCTCCCCTCCCCACCAAAAAAAACAAACAAAAAAAAAAAACAAAAAAAAAAGAAAACAAAAAACCCAGGAGTTTTATCTGTCTGAGGTTGCCTTTGATAGCACTCACAGCACGGAAGTGCCACTCACTGGTACTTAGAGCTGCGTCATTTAGGAGCATAAAAATAGAATAAAGTTGTGCAGCAAATGAGAAATTATGATATAACTCAAGTGCTGTGGCATGAAACCGGCAAAATGAGCCATCTAAACATTTTTCACAACCAAAAAAATAAAATTAAAGAAAATGGAAAATGCAACTCTAGCATGATTTCTGTGAAGGTGTGTTTGAAGTCTTACTAACTTCAATGCCCTCCATGAGAATAGTTGCTATGGATATTATGAGAAAATTAGACATTTCTAGCACTGCAAAGAAAGTGAAGCAGTGCAGTTGTGAACAGCTGGCATACAATAGATAATTTGAGGGAAAGTGACCCTCATGTATAATTTTTAACTGAAGAACTGTCAGGCCCCATTAGTTCCAACAGGGCCTGCCAGGACTAAGATCGGTTTACAGGAGTATTGTATTAGCACAGTTTCTGAAAGAGCAGTGTGAAAACATAATATGGGGATTTGGTAAATTCAGCATTTTAAAAAATTGTACACATTATTTGTTAGACTGACACCATTGCTCTCTGCTTATGTGTTCTGAATGCAAAGCCCAATAGGGTAGCAACTGCCATGGTAAACAATTTGTGAAAAAACCCTTCTGAGCAGTTGTACTATGGACAGAAGTAACTCCCAAAAGTTAAAAGGGCAAAGCGAATGGTGGCTATCATACACAGCCCTGAATGCTTCTGACTCAAAGGCCTTGAAAGAAATAGGGCCAGGAACGGAAAAACTATATAAACCCAGTCAACCGAGGTTTTTGTTAGAAGTATGGAAATTCTTGGACAGCCTGTGAAGGATGCAATGAGATATAATTGGGGAATATAACATGTGTGTTTCAAAAGTAATAGCCAAAGTAAATCATAAGAGGAAAAAAAAAAGGTTACCTCTTCTCTGTCACATTGGCCATTTAAGCAAATATTGAAGCTTTCTTGGCACCAGGGTTATCTCACTTAAACACCTGGTGAAATAAAATAATATACATGTGACATGCCATGGTTTCAAGTAGCACCATCGTTATTGAAAACATGGGCTGGGTGCAGTGGCTCACACTGTAATCCCAGCACTTTGGGAGGCTGAGGTGTGAGGATCGCTTGAGCTCAGGAATTTAAGACCAGTTTGGGTGACCTAGTGAAACCCTGTCTCTACAAAAAATAAAAATAATTAGCTGGGCATGGTGGTGCACACATGCGGTCCAAGCTGCTTGGGACGCTAATGCAGGAGGATGGCTTGAGCCTGGTAGATCAAGGTTTCAGTGAATCATAATCATGCCATCGCACTGCAGCCTGGGTGCCAGAGTGAGACCCTGTCTCAAAAGAAGGAAGGAAGGAAGGAAGCGGGGGAGGGAGGGAGGGAGGGAAAACATGGATTCATGGTAAAGGAAAGAGTGGATACTGAGGCTCAGGGAAGTCTTCATGGGGAAAGAGGTCATGGAGCTCATGTATATACAAAACGCTTATTTAGTCTAGAACCTTGTAGCTCAATAAATTGCTGATCTGGTGGAACACACTGTCCTTAATTTTATTGTGTGATATTGTGCAGTTTAAAATCATGTTTGCCTTACCTCTCTATCCTTAGGGAAAGCTGCTTGATATTGTCTTGTTGGTATTCCTTGGTGTAAATGTTTTGAGGAAATTTCAGACACTTATATCCCAAATTAATGGGATTCTTGGCATCCTCTCTCCCTTTTAATGTTGCACTGATGTGGAATTAATCTCTCTATTTAGGTGGTTTGTCTTTGCAACAAATATTAAATAATCAAGTCAACATCTTTATATATTTAAATCTACCATTTGATTATTTAGAAAGGCAACTATTCAATTCCATAATTATAGCCACTTAAATCAAAGTCTACTAATTAGATAACATAGCTGGGCTTTACAGGTATTATAGAATATTCTTTAGTAGACACTATATTACAAGCAATCATTAGCTCAGCTATAAAAGGGTTTAAATACTAATGTATTTTTTAATTTGTTTTATAACCTAAACAAGCAATCAATGTACATTAATAAGCATAATTGTTTTTTTGGCATCTGTCCATTCATTTGGTCCACCTTGACAGCCCTAGCAAATGTGTCAGCAAAACTCGGTAAACACAATACACAAGTAGAAATCATCAGTGACATCTTCTCAGATATATGTTATGCATTAAATTATTTTGATATTGAGAGATTAAAACCTCCTCAGTTTCCATGAAATTTCTTTTACATACATTCTAGACAAGGACTGTGACAGATAGTTCCACCTCAAACACAACATCGAAGTGGCCATAAAACAAGCCTTAATGAGGCGAGAAATGTGTTTACCTTTGATTAGGTGAGCTTCTTGATAAGATAACATGGAGAAGCACTTTCCAAAAGTAAATATGTACGGGAACTGCTGGCCACTACTGTTCTGTACAGATTCCACATACAACAGAGACACTCACTTGTCCAACTCACCTTTTCGCCAGCTCATTTGGCTCTGACAATGGAAAGAGTAACTCGTGTAAGAAATCTTTACCTAGCTTAGGCACCCTAATGGTTCTCAGAAAACCCTTTCCCGGATTCTAAGACTCTGGGCTATTACGCAACTCAACCATAACTCTTTCCATGTTGTAGTGTAACTGTTTTCTTGTTTGTCTGTTTCTCAGTAAATTATAAGGACTGAGGTTTTGCTTCCCTCATCTTTGTCTCCTCCGAAGCTAGGACAGTGTCTGGCCCACGGTGGACAGTAACTGCTCTGTTTTGAATGCATGAATTTTCATCGCAGTTTTTGTTATTGTGTTGATGGAGACACTAGAGGGACAATGTCCTGCAGTTCTAGAGATCGTCTTGATGTGATAGCAGCCTTGCATCCAGTCCTATGTATGCACATTTTGATATCTTACTGCCTTTTGCCAAATAGGGCAATAAACACCCACCAGGAGTGCTACACAATCATATATATACTCTGTATTTGTCTCAGCTGACCTTCCTGCAGGACAACTTTGGCATATTCTCTGCAAAGGTACAGTTGTCGGACTTCACAGAAGGAGACTGTTATCATTTGGTCCTTGACAACTTTCATAAACAGTCACTCTTAGCTTAACAAGCAAATGTGTAGCAGTTAAAATTGGAAGAAAAATAAGGCCAAAATGGCAGCTTACCGCACCACTTGCATGCGTTCTAAAATAAAGGAAATATGAATAAAAGGTAACTTATTCAGTGTCACTCGTACATATTTATAGTTTAAAAATTAGTCGAAGTTTATGTCCTGAGGTTGTACCTACAGGAAGCCAGATGTGCCTTCTGCACGTGACCTAAGACAGGCCTAGAGCAACTACTAGATAATTTCTCGCTCATCCTCTACACCGTCGATTGCGGCGGCTTTCTGAGGTGAGAGAAACTGACAGCACTAACTCTCCAGGGCAGAACTTTCCAGTCAAGTGGATCAACGGACTGAAAATCTCTTATGAATAGTCATTAGGCCTTCATTACAAACCCCTCAAAACCCAGTTCTCTTTTCGCAACCAAATGCCTTTTGTCATCTTCACAAGGTGCATCATTTAATTACCAATTGATTTCTTTATATATGACAACATGTCAGATAGCAAAATACAGTGTATCTCCCTTAGGGGGGGAAAGTCTGTTAACTATCACTATGCCAGATGATGGAATTATCTGAAAAACAGGCTTCGTGCATGCCGTTTCTTCATTTTCACTACTTTTTCTAACATCAGAGTTTCTTTTTGTTGAGAAAGCCAATAAAAGAAAAAGAAGAAAAAAGCTAATGAGAATCATGATGGAGTCCTCCCATACCCTGAAACACTTTCAAATTAGTGAGAACACATTTTAAGCTTTCTTTATATGAAAAACGAATACTCAACAACATATAGGGAATATAGAGTGAATTCCAAAATGCAACTATATAGAGAACTACCATGGCCCATCTTTCTACATAAAAAAATGTCAAACAATTGTTCTCATTATACCAAGAATTTACTCAGCTTCTGACTTAGCTAATGCACTGAATCCTCTGCTGTGCAACTGCAGCCTGATAATCAAGTCAGTACTGTATTAATAAGCTGAATAATAAGGGAATTTCAAAAATGTACAGGACTATTATACCGTAACAATAAAACCTCAAACGGAGTAAACCAGGGCAGTGCTGAAGGTAGGCGTCAGAAAATAATGAAACCAGTGTTGCAGCAATGCACTCCATTGTGTGGTAGTGTAAATGCCTGCTTCTTTCATACACAGAAGCCACATTACATGAGTCCGAAATGTTCTCAGAGTGTCACTGTGACTGGTTGTGCTAGAACCTGGCACCGACGGGCACTGAAAGCTGACATTATGCTGTAGGATGTGCTGCAGGTGTGCAGGCCTGGGAACGTGCTCTAATTACATATTTTCCTGCCGCGCAACAATTAAGGTCGCCAAAATAATTGCCAGTTTCTTAATCCCTCCCTAACAAGACTGACATAAGGAATGGTTTATTTTTCTCTGGTTGTTTTGAAAGTGTTCCTCAAGATTTTGGTTTTCTATGGAACTGCATAAAACTAATTCTTATGTTCAGATGTGTGATTATACCCATTGTTAAAAAAAAAAAAAAAAAAAAAAGACCTGTCTTTGAATTGTGGTAAAACTAAAATAATTTTTAAAATGCGAATTGTATAACCTGGTAGGTGGTTTAAACATTTTTCCTCTTAAAGAAGGTAAATTTTGCTTTTAAAACCCTATGCTTCTACTCTCTGAACTGCTCTGAACTGCTCTGGAATGTTAAAATGGGCCGGGGGAAAAAAAACGCCAACCACATGGAAACATAGACCAAATAGGTGTCTTCACTTAGAGCAATGATTCTTAACCTTTTTTTGGTGAGGTGGGATACTGGGGAGACATAGAGCCTTTTAAGAATCTGCTTAAACGTATGGACCCACAACCCAGGAAAAATGCATCAATGTATTAAATGTTACACGCAATTTCTGGTGGTTTGCAGATTCTTTAAAAAAAATCCATTAATGAATTCCAGGGAAAGAATCCCAGTCAACTAATAAATATTACAGTTATTGACACACTCCCCTTCATTCATCTACCTCTGCATTCTCTGAGCCATCTGACCACCATATGAAGCATACAGTAACTACCCCAGGCAGCAGAAACCAAGTCTTTGGGATTTATATTCACAACTAAAACCCATTTCTTTCATTATTATTAGTTGTCAATTTCCCACTTTGGTTGTGCTAATTGGGCAGAGCTGAATCACTCAGAGAATTTTGAGTCAGCTTACTCAGTCTTGCCCCCTTTCCTACAAATCGGAAGATAGCACTGCGTGCTGATTGAGTACTTAGCAGACAAACTAAAGTTATGTCAAGCGCATTACGATTTAACACAGGCTGAATGGTAGGGGCAGCAGATGTAACTAATGGGGTTAGGGAGAGAGGAAACTGGAGCGGTGAGAGAGGGGATGGAAGGGAAACAAAAGTGATTGTATTGGTAATAGAGACTTCAAAGGGAAGTAGTTTGGAAGATCTGGGTAGGAGGATCTGGCAAATGGAAAAGGAGGCACATCTGCCTATAGAGTGGCTAGCTAGAGGAGAGAGGAAAGGCCTGCCGGGAGAGAACAGAGAACGCAGAGTGGGTAATCAAAAGCAAGGAAATGGATAGCTGCAGAAGAAGGAAAGCTCGATTCCATTTATGGAGGTAATGACACAAGGCCTCATACAGTTGGAACTGTCCCACATTGGCCTGTTTTGAGTGTCCCATCTATGACTTGTTGCTAAGTTGGAGACAAAAGTAACTTTAATAATTTGATAAAATAAGTTCATCTTGATATTTGAAAAATCCTTTCATTATAAGAATAGTGGTGGTTTAAATATTACCTGCTCCTCTTTCCTTTTTTTCTTTTGTGTCTGATGCTTAAGAACAATGTTTTGTCCAAAAAATGAGGTCTCATTGTAGACCTCTCAAATGTGAGTTTTATGGACAAAAGTGAGGAATGGGCATGCCATTTCTTTTCTTTTAGGAGATGCTTTGATTCTTGAGGAGGTGGACACTCGAATTTCAATGACGGAGTGAGCACGTGTGTGTGTGTGTGTGTGTGTGTGTGTGTGTGTAAACGCACATGAATGCATGTGTGTATTACAGTACAATGGGCTGGGGAGAGAAGAGCAAAGACCAAATTCTTAAAGTGGCTTTGAGGAGTGCAGGAGTCAGAAATGGACTGTGCTGCTAAAACTCAGACCATATTCTGGGATGCTGTTTCTACTACCAGTGGCCCATTTCTGTTCATATTCACATGCTACATGCCACTCAGGTGTTTTTTTAAAGGCCAGCTTAAGCATGTCCTTTCTTACAGTTTTACTGACCTGTTCAAGCAGAGAAACTCTCAGTTCCTCCTTGTCCATAACAAATCAAGGACCTACCTTGATCATCCCTTGATTCATTCTATCAGTCACTCAACAAATGTTTCTTGAATACTCACAATGTGTCACACTCTGAACCTTGCAAAGTAGTTCTTTCTGAAGTATCTGTAAGGCTCTGTGAGAACTCACCTTTGAACCTTTGGTGCTGGCACATGGTAAGTAGCTAATATTTGTCAAATACAATAATGAATTGAGTGAATATAAAATAGCTTCCCAAAGAAATCAAAGACAGACTTACAGTAAAATGTTTCAAATAGTTGTTTTTTTTAAAATGATTTTTCTATGCAGAAGTATGCTTATTAGCAACATAAGTTTTTAAAACATTGCAGTTCAGCTCCTGGTTTAATCACAATCATAGGACTACTGGTAGCTTTCTGCTGGGCATGGCCAATTCACCAACTAACACACTGCCTTCACAGAGCACACGAAGATGTATCCACCTTCATTTTTTTGACTGATATAAATACCATCAGCCAGTACTGAGCCTTGCACACACTGATCTGAGTGCTACAGACTCCCAATTAGTCACTATTCATACAATTCTACACCTAGCCCATAACAGGCCTTTTTCCCCCTAACCCAATTTCCTTGACCTGTGTTTTCCTTCTAACCAGACTTCAGAGACAAAGGCAGAGCCGTAAATCATTTTCTTAGAAAAACACCATCAGGCTACTTCAGTCCTTTGGGCTGTTATTTATATGCTGTACCTGAAAAAGTTATTTTGGGATAGTGTAGCTCACTAAATTATATTTTCCTCATTATCATTATTACTTCAAAATGATCATTAATTTGCTCTTTGGCTTTCTAAGAGGGAAAACATCAAAGAAACAAGAGTTGCCCCTAATTTAACTTTTCTTGAAAGGTAACTGATTTACAAACAAATTACTTGTGCCTTGTAAGGAAGAGCCAAGCGCGTCTGCTCATTTGATACATTTTCAAGGGTTACAGTGTGGAAATGAAACTCTAAGAAGCTCCTGTGTGATCCACAAACAACTTCACGCTGTATTACACGTGCATCAGATAACAGAGACCAAACCCTCTGAGTTGCAAGCAACCTGTGATGCAGAATGCTTGCTTGGCAGTGCCTGAAACAGCTTATTTAAATTGCAAACTTTGCAGTCACCACTTACAGGTGATTTTGAAAGTTCATTATATAAACTAAACAGCTTAATCTCCATACTTTGTTTTTAAAATCATACATATATTATCTCTGAAAGATGCTATTTAATCTCTCTCTCTCAAAAACTCATCAACTCTGTTAAGAAATTGCCTTAGAGAGTAAAAATGTATTTAAAACATGCATGAAGCTTAAACAAATATCTCAACTTGAGGGCAAATGATGTTGGAGACATGGGTAGAAATTGCCAGGATGAAGTTTGCCTTGAATAGAGATCACATGAGAAGCATTTTGAAGTCATAACTTTACAGTGTAAGATGATCAAAGCCAAGTATTAATACTTTTTTATCAGCTCACCTTCTAAACAATATTTCAGTAGATTTCCTTTCACACAGTGATATTTGTAATAAATGTTCTGCCTTTGTTTTAAAGTCAGTCTGTAGAAAGATGACATCAGCTTAGCAAACAATAAAGTGCCTGTAATATTGTCTCCAGAGGGCTGTTACATTTACTTTGTAGCAGTAAAATTCAATTTTCAAAAAACACTACATGAATGATGTTAGGTTATTAACCCTATCACCACCGTAAAACATCATTATTGTGTGCAGAATGTAGGTCAGTATCTAGAAGCCATAAGTTGCTTTTTTGTTAAATAATCCACTTAAGCTTCTTTTCTTTCCTAGAGCCTGGGTTGTGTCCCTTCTTTGGGGAAAAAATATTCCAGCATTTAGTCAGCAGACTGCAACAAGACCCCTACACTTTTCATTGTAAGGCTCTCTTTCTTTGTCACCATTTAGTTATATACCCCAGAACTGAAGTAACCCTTTGCATTTACTTAGTACCAAAGCCTGTTGTTCTTCAACGAAAAATTAGTATATCATCGTATTTTTTCAAATGGCAGAGTCATAACTCTCACGTTTCGGTTCTAGGACAAAAAGAAAATAAGAACGTGTCTCATTGCAAAGCCTCAATCACTCTCACATTTCAAGACCTTGAACACAAACACTTTATTTCTGGACCTTAATATGTTTCACTTGCTATGCCTGCATAACAGCAGTAGTTACCTGATATAAGCGATTAAAATCCTTCCTGCTTAGAAAGAAGAATATTCAGCGACAGGACATCAGCATGCAAAGAGTTAACTAGTTAAACTTCTACAAACCCCCAGAGTAACTTTCCAAAAGCTGACAATAAGTAAAAGAAGTGCTGGTTATCCATTTTTTAAAGGGATGGGATTGGTTTTAGAAGAAAGGGAAAGAGGATCAAACACCTCAATGCAACAAAAGGTTGTGTCAGAGGGCCCTCAATCACAAACCTCCTTCAACAACAGATATTCCAACCTTCCAGAGCAGTTACCCAGGCAGCACAGCTAAAAAGTTCCATGACATGAAAAGAACAAAAACCTAAGGGACAGAGGTAGTTATTGTCATGCACACTTTTCTCTCTCTCTCTCTCTTTCTCTCTCTCTTTTTTTTTTTTTTGGCTTGGGTTTTTCCCTCCCCCACGAAACTTTTGCATAAGCTGTTAGAGAAAAGTAATGGTGTGGCTTTCTGAAAAGAAATCCCCTATTTGTAAGCCACCTCCTAGGTAGTGAGGTAGCTCAGTGGACTTTCTGTAAGAAACACCTGATAAGTGGAGAGATCATTTACATGAATATTTCAAAAGAGACATCTGAAATTAATAAAAACAATTACAGGCCTGTAAATATGGTCAATATTCCCTTGAAATCACTTGGATTTTTTTTTTAATTGATGTTGTTTTCTTTTCAGACAAATTTTCAGTGCACAGTGGATATAAGTTATTTGCATTTTCTGTGTTGTGTCTTAGAGGTATCTTAACAGCTTGTATGAATTTTCCACTAAAATGTAAATTATTAACAAGTCAGAGTTTTCATTTGTTTTATCTCCTGATGTGAGATCTAAATAAGTATGTAGAACACTTAAAATTCTTACCATTTCTCTGCTTTCTGAAAAATAAATCTCATGCATACTGCACAATATATTTTCTTATGCATAACATGTTTCTATGTAATGGGAAAAAACTAATTTCAGGAGGAATACTGTATGTTTCCTGGAGACTTAGCTTTATAAGCAGAGTATTAACCCAAAGAAGCATTTGGCCATGTTTTCTTCATCATCATCATCATCCTTATCATAATATTCTTTATAATCATCCTCAAAAAGCATTTAAAGTCTTCATCATTACCTGTTTTGATATCAGGTGTCTTCAATTAACTTTGCCCTGATTTCTAAGACATAAACTACTGTTAGAACCAGATTTTTTAAAACCCAGTTATGTTGTCCTTGGCACACAGCATCATCATGGTGACTGAAGTGGGGTGTGACTGGGGAGTTGTCCTTTGAGATATGGTAATAATACTAATAGCAAACATGTTAACAGTGCTTACTGTGTGCCAGCAGTGTTCTAAATAAATGATCTCATTTATCTTCACAACAATCCATTTTACAGACAAGGAAGCCAAGGTGCAGTGCTCTTGGGTAACTGCCCAATGTCATAGTAGCAAGTGATGGAACTGGAAGTTTTGAATCTGGACACGCTCACAAAAGGACACTTTGCTACATCAGAAAGGAAGGAAGGAAAGGAAGGACTACTGAAAGAAAGTGTCAGAATCTGCCCTTGAGGGGTGGATATCAGGAACATATATAACATGAGAAGGGTTTCTGAAGCAATGTGCGAATGATGAAAAAAGAAGTGCCAGATGAGCTTACCTCCAAAAAGAAAGAAAAAAGATTGGAACAATTGGAGGTAGCTGGATGAAGAGGTGATATGTATAAAGTGAACATTAGAAGCCAGTCCAGAGAACAGCTGGCAGTCTCAATGGAGCTCAAAGAGAATGAATGGACCAAAAACACAGACAAGAGAAAAAAAAATTTTGTCAGTGTTATTAAATAAAGTAAGCTGGAATTTGATACATGAATGTGGAGAGAGAGGGGGAAGAAGGCTGAAAAGCCTCCGTGGGCCATGGCCAAAGCCTAGACTAAGACCACAACTATGAGAATGGAAAGGAAAGGGGTGGATTCAGGAAACACTGGCAAAGAAAAAGTAGCAACGGTTGGTAACAGACTGGATGTGGGGAGTGAGAAAGACAGCAGTGAGACAAAAATAACCATGGGGTTCCTGGTTGGGAGGTCCACGATAGGGTGGTATTTCCCACTGCGATGGAAAACTAGGCAGATAGGGAAAATGAGTAGTTTTATGTCATGTTATTGAATTTGCCAAAGCCTATGTCATTAAGTTTTGAGGTCGTCTGTGGGAAGAGTGCTATGTAGTCCTAAAACGTGGCTGGCTTAACTGATGAATACCTTGATTCTCTTTTTGGTAGAGACAGGGTCCCACTATGTTGCCCAGGCTGGTCTCAAACTCCTGGGCTCCAGCCATCCTACCATCTTGGCCTCCCAAAGTGCTGGGATTGCAGGTTTGAGCAATAGAGGTCAATAATCTAGTAGCTGAAATTGCAAGCAAGAGGCTGTCAGGTATGCAGAAATCTGATGGGGCAGCATGGATAAGGGACTGCCAGAGAACAGGATGTGCACATGAAGAATGCCAGGAAGATTATCCAGAAGCAGAGGGGTAGAGTTGTTACCAAGGTGCAGGGAAATTGAATACTTAGCATGGAACAAAGTGAAGTGGCTGAAGAAAATACTTAAGGCTAAGTCATGGCCAATGCCTCACACCCTGGCTTTATCTACTTTGGGTATAACAGCAGAACAATTCATGGTTTAAATTCAAGGCAAGGACATTTTCTTTAGAAAATAAAATGTATGTATACAAAATAATGTAGCATCATTCTTTCGCTTTCTGGGGTCAATTATTTCTCTAATGATTCATCCAGTTTTCTCAAGTACTGCTTCTAGCAAAGCAGAGTTTATAGAAAATTTAAAGAAAATTTTCTCCAATGCCTAATCCTGGGTTAATGTTTGCAAACACACAGCCTCCTTAATTGGCCTTGCCTGGGCAGTCCTGAGCAGCACCCCTCTTGAAGAGACAGCACTGAGGAAAGAAGGGTATTATTTCAGCTGGGAGAGGAGCAGAGCCCTGGGATGAGGCTGATTGATTCAGACCAGATGGATGGCTACACATAGGTGTGTGTGACAAAAATAGTAACACATTGCAGACATTCCAGGCAGTGTCCTCTTCTCCTGGCCCGGAGGTGGGTCGCCTATGCTGTCCCCTTATCTACTTCCTAATGTGCTCTCCAATCAAAGAATGTCAGTGATGCAAACTCTTTTCCATGTTAGCACCTGGTCACATGGTATCAGACTTATCCATTAAAAAAGTCTAATGAGCATTGCCCAGGTTTCCCTGTAGGTAAAGCCAAAACAAATCATTTTGCCTAGTGTCTAAATATGTTGGTATTATTTCAGTTTTCTCTTGCACATGAAGAGTTCTAAGGTGTCAAACCGGTCTCTGCTACCCTAAAAGAGAAGGGTACATTAGTAAATAATACCAGTGTTGTAATCATTGATTATAACTTAATTCATGGGTCTTAAAAGAGTACTATGTAACAACTGAGGATTTTAATCTGGTCATAGGCACTTTAACCCTGAATTTCTTGAGCCTGAGGACTCTTTATTAAAAAGAGATAGGACCTTACATGAGATCTTCATTTCCATCCATAATCATCACCATCCATTCATTACGATCATTATTATTTGTGTTTAAGATTTTTCTTGGAGTATTTTTGTTCTCATTTCAATACATTAGTAAATTTTAAATTTATAAACTAAGGTAATGGTTTATTAACTTGACAACATTGGAAGAAAGAAATGTAACATTTTTATTTATTATAAGAATTTCTTAGTTGAGAGGAAACTCAACAAGCATAGGAAATTTTCTATCATTCAAAGCTGAAGTGCAGAAATTATGCACAAATTTGAATGTTTATCAGAATTAAAGGAAACTCCAAAAGCTTTTTGTAAAATAATATAAAACCTAGAGAAATGGTGAGCATTTAATAACAACCCAGTGACATTTTAACAAGTATGGGAGAGGCTTTGTCATAATAAAAGTATGGTTTTCTCACTCTCTACCTCAAATGTCCTGCCCTGTTTTGTCCCAGCATGAAGTTTTAGTTTATGCGTTCTCACAGAGGCCTGAAACTGTTACCTACTTGTTATAAACCGTCTCAGATTTCACTGCGTCGGGTTAATCTGTAGGTTCTGATTGACATCCCTGACTGTCTCTTATACTCACTATGCAGCTCACATGTAACTGACACCTGAAGAGCAAGGGAGACTATTGTTTTCACTTTGATCTCTATTCGCAACTAAAAAGGTAACTCCTTAGATATAATTTTGAACCTATTACATATGGAAGAAATTATTATTCAAGTTTAAAAGCCATATATATATGTGTGTGTGTGTGTGTGTGTGTGTGTGTGTGTGTGTCATTTTTCTTTCCACAATATTGTTGGCACACTGCTGTCAGGACACCCATCTGGAATTAAGATTCCACAGCAGACTTTTCTCATAGAAGTACTTTTTCATTTTTTCATGTCATAATTCCTAGAAGTAATGTACTACTGATAGCTCTCGAATTTACTCTGCCAGTAGGCTGCCTCCTTTAAAAAAATTATTCCTGTGCAGGTGGAGATTAGCATATGAAAAATGCTTTTAATTTGTCCACTCTTAGACTTACCTATCTGTCAAACCCATACATGTGACAGCAGTTGGGTTCAACTTATCTTATCTCTATCACCTCAATAGCAGGTTTTAAATAGTCCAAGGGCTGTTAGTTATTTGTAAACTGAGTTTATTTAACTCCCTTTCTCAAAAACAAACACAATGAAATAAACAGACAACAAACTGTTGGTTCCGTTTCTGAATATCAGAAACAAAGATGATCATGTCCAAGGATCTGTAAAAACTGACTTCCTTCTGACATAAGGAAATAAAACAGCCAGTGCAAACTGTTTCTTGATATCTACTTCTTGAGATCTGGTGGTTCCTTCAGTGTGGAACTTAGTTTACATATTGCTCCTGTGTAGTAATATTTTACACTATGTTTTTTCTACTGCTTATCTTTTTTTTCTTGTGAAATTTAACCTGCCTAATTTTATAGTTCTCATTTGCACCATTTGATTTGTGCAAACCACAGCACCAAAGGCTTCAGGGAATTAATCAAAATGAGATGCCCCAATGGTGGCATGGCTGTGGATCTATTATGGCTTCATGCTTCACTAAATGACAGGATTCCCACAGGGCGGTACCTATCATGGAGTGGGCCTCAAGGGGTTAACATGGGCTGAGTCTCAAAATAGACTTGAAGCTCAGCACACCTACTCACTTAAAAAGAAGGAGCAGTAAATATGTGCATGCAAATTAGATTTCAAAGGACACTTAAGTGATGGTGGAAAAGTAGAATGCTCTTTCTCATCATTCAAACTAGAAGATCAAGAACACTGGGCACCTTGCACTCTTCAAAGGGTCTGAGCTGAGAGCAGCACCTGAAACAACTTTTCCCTACCACCTACAGCCCTGAGACTGGAACAGGAAGAAACTTCTCACAGGAAAATAAACTCGCTCAGGCTTCTCCCAATTAGCTTACTTCTCTATGTTTTTATTGTTTCACTAAGTTCCTGGGTATTCAGATTTTGTAATTCAGAAGATGCTCCCAAAATTCTACAATTTTATGTACTGAAAATAAACATTCCTCACTATGTTAATCAGATGCCCCAATGAATGGGCAGGCATGGGGGTTCCATATTTCATGTATCGCTTGCTGATTTCACACTGCCTTTACCATGTCAAAATTCTCCTGTTTTGAACAGTGAGTGGACAACAGCCAAACGCAACTTTCAAACTTAATCTATTCTGATCATTTAAAAACATTCATTGTGCAATGAAACAAAATTTATATATTATCTATTATCTCAAATAAATATTGTTCTCATAATAAACTGTCTGGTAGATGTATGAAACCTGTTTACTCTCCTATTGATGTTTTGCTGGCAATAAGAGCTAAGGTCCTACTCTATTTTAAATTTAACTCTATGAAAATGGGCACTACCCAAGAAAATGCTAGCACAATTCCAGATAAAATATACTGTTGTGAGGCTGAAAAGTGCATGCAAAGCAAGCTGCATTATTAGAATGTTTAAATATTAATTATACCGCTGTGTAGTAAAGATGATCAAGTATGAGTGTCAACTAATTTTCTAAAAGCTGCAACATTTACTTTCATCTAAACTTCCTTTGTTAAACTAAAACTAAAAGCCCAGCAAGTTTAGTCTACTTGAGTGTGTTTATTTTTATTGGTTTCTGCATAATTTTTTTCTACCATAAACCAACTTTAACCCCTTTTCTGTAATCTCTGCCAGTATAACTCCAACAGCACATCATAAAATTCCTATAATTCTTCAAAGCTACGGAGTTGGAAAGGAAAGGCTTGGGCACTTTGTAACAAACGCCAGCTATAAGCTTCAGCCAATTACATTTAACTCTTACAAACCCTCTTTTTTGTGTGTGTGGATAAACTTACAGATTTATGCTCTCTGGTCACTTTCATTTCCATTGTAAGTATTCTTCAGCTGCTTTTGAGTTTGAAGCCTGTTCCATTTCGTGTGAATACTGTGGTGGAGGTAGCACCTAGCTCTAATAGCTCAGGAGGCTAGGCTGACAGATGGGGAGACAGATGTACAGAACCATGTAAAATCAGAAAGACTTATTACCTTACAAGGAAGCCTTTGCTGATGGAGATGAGGCGGCCTGAAAAGTGGGCATTTCCAATAAATTCTGGTGATGAAAGGGTTAAGTGGAATCACTGTTGCTTTCCCTGTCTCTTTTCCTGGAATCTATTGCTTTCTTTAATTTTTAAAACAACTACTAGAATCAGGCAGGAGCATTCTTAGGTAGAGACAAAGGAAGAGCATGTGTGTGAAGGAGACGCTCGGGTTTCATCCCGTCACCCATGGATGCCCAGCCAGGGTTTCCCACCTGAGACAGACTGCGACGCATGTTCGGCTCACTCATGCACAAGAAGCAATACACAAGTTCAGTGTAAAGCCACTTTAAAAGCTCATTGGGTGCATACTTTACTTGTACAAAATACCTTATTCATGACGGAGCAGTGAGGGCCTAGGTAATTACTTGAATCAAGGTGGCCTCAGAAGTGTTTAAATCTACAAGGACACTTAGAGCATGAATAATGCAAAATAATTTGCATCTAAATTTTTTAAGTGTTCTTTATTCAAAAACTAAAATGCAGTTCCGATTAAAGTTTGATGAGTGAAAGCTGAGCACTTCGTACCCACTGTGAAATGTCTCCTATATGTGGAAATTATTTCAGACAGTGAGTGGTGAAGGGACAAAAGAGTTTGTGTGTGTGTGTGTGTGTGTGTGTGTGTGTGTTTTAATTTAACTTGTGATTAAGTTGCACTTCTTCTAAGCCTAACTTTCTTTAGGTTTTATAGTGGCTACCAAGTTAATTCCTGAGCTTGCTTATCAGATAGAAGTCCAAATTTCAATCCAGCGCTAAAGGAAACACAATGAAAACACTTACTTTCTTAGGCCCAGTAATTTGCCAAACAAAATAGCATTTGTATTCAACGCCAATGCAATGAAATTTCTTTCTTATTCTCTCACCTACATTTTTAAATTCAAATTATTCTTTCTTTGAAATCATTTGACAAAATATCTATGCTCTCTGTTACTGCAAAAGCTTAGAATACTCTATTTCATTTCCTTGATATTATATTTATACTCCTGTATGAATATACATTATCAACTATGTCACTGGGAAATCTTCTGTGAAAAGCTAAGAAGTATCAATATCTTTGCCCATGTTTTTAGGAAAACAAGATTGAAAAGCTAAAAATCAACTGAAGAACCCAAAGGCAATTTTGTTACAGTAAGGTATCAAAATGTTTATCAATACCTTTGAGTAACTTTTCTTCATCTGGTTTTCTAAAGTAGAACATATTAAAGATGATTTCAAAGGAGTGCTATAATAAAATCAAACAACATTTCCAACTTATACATGTTTTTTTTTCAGGGATTTACAAACAAAGCAAATCATAATTTAGAAATAACTTTTACTTTTCTTTTGATAAATTTTTACAATCTATTACCACTTGGGCTGTGTTACCATTCCTGGAATTTCACAATGCTTACATTTCATTTGAATTTGTGAGTATCTGAGAAACCACAATTCAAGAAACTGCCATTGTTTTCCCGGATTCTTTTGCTATGTGTTAGAGAACTCTCCTGGCCCGTCTCTTCTACCTGAGATACCAGTAAAACTCAATTGGAAACTAGGCCTTTCTTGTCTAGTTCACAGGCATCCCTCATGGCTGTGTGGAGGCGGACTGCTGGAAATCAGGGAGAAAAGGCGATGCAGGTCCTGCCAGACTAGCAGTAGGCCTGACCTTGCAAGTGAATTTTCAAGGTAGGCCACTCTGCAATCCGCAGCACCTAAACTTTAAAGGCCCTTGCAAAGGGAAATTATTCTCCTGCTGTAGCCCTTATAAAGTATAAAGACTCCCAATTTATTGCATTCTCCAAAGCAGGCTTCTGCTTTATTGGAATTTTAGATGAGTGTGTTTGCCATACTCTTAGTGAGTGTGTATGCTACTTTTTTGTGTGTGGGGGGGGAGTGGATTTTGAACAATGAAAACATTTTTAAACTCATTGAACAAAGATTTCCCCAGCAACAGACCCCCTGCTCAGCAGGTCACCTATCTTTGCGACAGTTTTTCTTTTCCCACGCTAACCCCAGGGCTCATTTGCATAAGGTCTCTGTTGTGACAATTAGTTTCAGGTGAGCTGATTTCTATGCAGCTTGCCCAAGACGATGCACAAGCCCCGGGCCTCCCTGATCCTGGTCCTAATTGCGACTGACTGGCACCAGACACAATCATCCTCTTGATTCAGCAAATTGTCCTGCTAGTAGCTTGTTGTGACCCCGCAAAGCACAAATCATATAATGTCAGTCCAGCCTAGTAAACAACGAATAAAATACACTCTGAATGAGCATGATAATGTCTTTTCCGTATTTTAGGCATAGTTGACTAAATAAATGCAAATGAAAGCAATAGTCTTTTATTTGATTTGATTTCTGCTTGGGAGTGGTATTAAGGCTCCCCATAAAAACTTTTTAGAAAATAGGACGGCCCCCATATTTAAATTCCATGGTTCCATAGCCTCGTCACCTGGGAGAAAGTCCCCAGGTAAAATAGCTGGCTGCTTTCAAATTTCTCTTAGCTTTGTTGTTGTGGAAATAAGTAATATGCTCTTTCATCATCTCTGAAGCTACAGGGTATATCAATATGCACATTAGCAGGGTTCCCAGTAGTCCCTACTAGACAGAAAAGCATTTGGAGCCAATGAAATTTCACATCTCTGCATAGCAACCCAAGTTAGGAAAGAACTTTTCTTAACTCTAGGAAGCAAGTGGGAAACAAAGATGAGTGACTTAGCATTACAAGAATGTTTAAGGACAATTGTTCTTCAAATGTTGCTTGGCCCCTACTCTGTTTGCAATTCTTAACTTAGCCGTATTATGCTATAAGTGGCAGTTCCCTTATAAATTCTTTCTGCTCTGATAGGAATGCTGTCTGCCATCCTGTTACCTTACTTAGCCGCCTACCTGTCATCTCTATTTTCTCTCTATACTAAAGGTTTTTTTTTTTTTTTAAAGGACAAGGCTAATAAATGTTCCCAAAGCTATTTGGCTAGTTTTCCTACTCATGTAAAATAGGCATCGCCACTACTGTGATATTTTGTTTCTTTTTTTAAAGATGATTGCATATAAGCATCTGTTTTCATGAGATGAAAGACATAGTCATTCACATACTCTCTAGAAGTACAAAGATTTTCATATAGATAGCTACTTTTGAGAATTTTGTATCTTGCTTCAAACTGTTTTTTTTTTTCTAATAATCACAGCATTATTTGTTAGTACCACAATACATTGACTTTGTTTTTCTTTCCAGGCACCTATACCTTGGAGTTGGAGATCTCAGACAAAGACCACTGTTTATAGAGGAAAAGAGGAGAAAGAGGGGAAAGGAAGAGTAAAGGAAGGAGGAAAAGATTAAGTATATTATTAAAGAAAACCAATTGCTTTGGGTTCTTATGAAAAAATGTTTGCATTTGTGGCAGAGGAATTGTCTATCACCTTCAGTAAATGAATCCTTTGTGTGCCCTGACGTCATATATGCCCCAGGTTACACAGCCCACTCCGGAGGGCTGCAGGCTATATGTGGCCTGAGCACATGGTCTCAGCACATGGCCAGGGTGTGACTGAAAGTACACAATTCTCATTTCCTCCTGTTTCTTGTGCCTGTTATGACATTTAACCCCATCTTTTCACTGCAACATAGAAATTGTTTTACTAAAGCCATTATACTAACTCCATTGAAAAGGTAGACTAGAAACAGTTGGAGAAGAGAGCTGTCTAAATTCTAGAGCCCCAAGTGGTACACTTTTAGAACATTCAGGGCAAGAAAGTATATTAATCTACATAAATGAGTATACGCAGTATAAAGGTAAAGACTTACTGAGGAGTCCAGACAACTTGACTATAAAATAGAATCTACGAAAAAAAATCCTTGATGTGAAAAATCTGTAAATCGAACTTTTTGAAAACTCAAGAGATCTTCAGTATAAGCAATGTAAATTAGTATCTAGAGTGTGTTTTGCCATAAATGTGTGCAAATGAGTTACTTTACTTGAATTATGAACTTGTTGAAAGAACAGTTTCAAAAATGATGATTACCTCTGGCCCCATTCTCACACACCGCTATAGTGCATCATCCTTCAGACAGATAACCATCAAGTTTACCTCCCCTTTTGAAACATTTCTAAAAGTAAAAAATTGCTCATCCTTGTAAAGTACTTTTCCATGTGAATTTATTAAAATAGTATAATAGCATTATAGAAAAATGGGAAATAAGGGAGAGGATCCATTTTTAGAAAAGGGACACCAATACCCATATGCTTAAATGAATAATTCCAACAGAATGCCTCATTCCTTTCAATGCTGTATGCTCCATAACTTTGATTTGCTGTTTTCTCTTTCCCCTTGTTTCCCTCCTTCTCCCTGTTCATGTTCTCTTTTTGCAGAATGTAACCTCTTGCTCTCTCACCTTGCTGAGCTGGGTTCTCTCCCAACACAGCTTAAGGTTTCTTTTTATTTGCAGGTTTCCTGGAGAATAGCTTCTCTGTCTACATCACCGCAGTGTGCGGCAGCTCCAGTCATGATCTTTCTTGACGCATTTCATTTTTCACCTCCACCTACCATAGGTTCTCATCTCCTTCTACTTTCCACCCATGCCTTCTCACCTTTTAATATCATTTTTCTTCTTCTCTATTGACATCCAAAGATTTCTCTTACTAATTTTTATTCTTTCCTTCTAACCATATTAATTTTCCTTTCTTATAATCCAAGCGTGTTGAGCTTGTTGTCATGGGGTGTTGTGATGAAAATTTACTTTCCTTTCAATGTCTGAATCCCTTAAAACGTCCCTTTCAATGTTTCACATTTACCATCATCCTTTCTCAAGTCTTTGCTCAGATTTCTGGCCTGGAGGTTCTTCTTCCACACTCCCTAATTGTTACTTCCTCTCCAGTGTTTCCCATTTCTCTCCTACCTCTGTCCTAAAAGGTTTCACTTCTTAAATTACTGTGGAGTCTTCTTGCTGTTTATTTCTCTTTATATTTCTGATATTTCTTTCTTTTTTTCAATGGTTCTACCTTCTACCTTTTTACTTTTACAATAGACTCTTCCCCCACCACCTCATTTTTCCAGAAACCTCTACTTGCCTATTTTATGACTCTTTTTTTGCCCCTCCTCCACTTGTCTATATCATTATTTCCTTGTAAAGCTTGATCTTAAACTCCCCTGCAATATGCTTCCATGGATTGTGTTTTTATATATAAAGATGTCTTTATATATCTGTTAGCTTCCCTTAATAAAAATCCAGCATTCACTTAAGAAGAGCTACCGAAAAGAATTCTTCATTGACTTAGAAAAAAGTGAAACAATTCTCAATTCATGAAACAATTCCCACTTAACCTCTCAATTCTTGTTCATGACACACAGAGAGAAAAAGTCAGTGTTTATGTAAGACACAGACACAGACATGCACACACACACACACACACACACACACACACACACACTCTAAGACACTGGAAGCATAGTGATGGCATGGAAAACATTAAATATGAAGCCAAAAGCTGTATATTTGAATCCTGGCTCTTTTTCATATTAAGCAAGTAATAGTAGGCCAATTTTCCAATAGTCATCCAACCTTTCTGGGTCTCAGACTCCTCATTTGTATTAAACATCTTCTCTGTCTAGGTCCTACAATTGCTGCGAAGATTGAATGACATATTTTCCTCAATGTTCCTTGCACAATATTAAACACTCTATAACCATGAGTTGCAAATGTTATTTTTTGTGTTTAAGTGAATACATTTGGAAATATGGTTTATAAAAGTATAATTTTTAAAATCAATGTAATTCCTTTACTTTTGAAGATCAAACAGTTCCCAGGCCAATATAATTTGTTCGCAATTACATGAACAGAAAAAGTTCATGAACTCAATATTCATAAAGATGTTAGTTTAGAGTGGGAGATGAGAAAAAAATATTAACTGAAGGGCCCTTATTATTTGCTTTGGGTTTTAAAGAATCTACTTTTGGATAATTTGCAAAATACACAGTTTGCTGTGTAGATAACAGTGAGTCAGTGACCAAACCATCTTTCTTGTAACTACCTCAAAGGCCATCTTTACTGAGCTATTCCTGCCTCCCATTGTCAAATTTCAAAGTCAGTGTTTGTTCTAAACAGGGCTGATTCATTTGGCCTAAGACGGTTCCAAATTTTACCTGATGCTGACTGTATAGACAAATACCTTAGCATTCTGCCATAGACATAGAAACCCCTATGGATTATGTATATTTCTTACAGTGAAGCAAATCATATTTGGAATTCCAAAACTAGAGCTTCAGAGGAGTCTTGGGAGAGAATTGGGGCCCCACATTCAAATGGCTACACAGGTCAAGCAGGTGAGGGAGGTTGATTGATTTTTCTTATGAAACTCAAAGTTGTTCCCACATGATCTTTCCATATAGCTATGTGGGCCTGAGACACCAGATCCTCTGAGATTCCCAGGGGAGTTGGAAATCTGTAATTTTTTATTTATTTATTTATTTATTTTTTTGGTGAAACAGCCCAATTTTTAAATATTGGCAACCAATTCAAATGTATTTAAAATACTGTGTGGGCCAAATCAAACACATCTATCAGCCACCAGTTTGCAACCTCTGTCCAATCTCTGCTTTTTATCATTAGGGATGTGGGTCCCAGAAAGGTTAAGGATGTGTCCAAGGCCATGTTCAGACTGGAAGGCAGGCTGGGCGGGCCAGGAATCCAAATTTCCTGAATCAAGTATTGGATTCTTCTTGTTGTACTCAGTCATGATCCCAGATCTTCACAGATCAGTCAGCCCACTCTGATGGAAACTAGTGAAAGACACATGGCCTAATCAGGAATGGCTTCTTCTGTATTTTTCCCACCCAGAACTTTTCCTATTTGCCACGGCCACTGCTTGTCAAGCTAAAGGTGGTGAAGGCAGACACAGGCAATGGAGCCAGGAGCATATGCCTTTCAATTCCTTCCTGGCAAGTTTCCTGTCTTCTCCTCCACTGACTCTTCCCTCTCATCACTCTCTCTATGGTGCCAAAATAGGCTTAGTGGAATAGGACTTAAGTTGGAACCCATTTAATGCCAGGGGAATGTCAGTACAATGTGGAACATTTCCTGAACTCTCTGCCCAGCCTGTACAGAAATTATGAAAATGAAACACCTCACCTAAAAAGCAACTGTCAAAAAATATAGGAGCAGTAAAATCAAAGAACATGGAGTTCAGAACTTACAGCTCCATAGCCTAATAACTCACCACCTGGGCATACTGGACGTTCTGGTCCTTGCCCCCTTCACTCTTGGCATACATGGCAATTATAACCTGGCCCTTCAGAGTAAAGAGTCACTTAGCACAAAAATAAGACAGTGGATCTTGGGGCCACAATATCAAAACCAATAAAAAAGAATTAACATTTAAAACCGCATCTTGTCCCTGACTTGGAGTCAAAAGGCTGGGGTTCAAATCCTGGTTCTGCCAGCTCTGTTTCAGTTTCTACCCAATGGGAAAAGCCTGGGGATGAGTATAGTTGAAATCCTGGTTCCTTCCAAGTTCTAAAATTATATGAATGCTCTCTAGGGAAAATGATTTAGAAAATTAAATATAAATGCCAGATTATGCAATGATTTTAAAATAGAAGACGACGTATAGGTAAGTGCTAATCAGTATTAACATTTAATTCCAAAAATCAAAATTTTTAGAAATTTGGGTTGGGGTATTTTTTTAGAAGCAAAAAATCTGCAGGAATTCTTTTTAAAAAATAGATTTGGGCTATATGAAATATGTGTCCTCACTTACCTATGCTAGTGTTTGGATGAGCAGAAACATTTAAATACTTGGAAAGCTAAAGAGTTGGGGAATTATTTCTTTATGCCATAAACTGTTTCAACAAGCCATAACATCAACCATCCAATGCTGCCTTCTCTCTTCCTTTTCTTCTTAGCTTAAGAAAGTAAAAAGGAATCGGTGATTTAAACCCTCTCCTTAGATATAAGAGATATTTTTGAGTTAGTGCTATTTGCCAAAACCTCTGCATTTTTAAGGCTTCAGTTTATTTTATACCCGTAGTGACATGTATTTTTACCTATGATATGAATGATACTCTAGATGAATCCAGAAATCTGATTGTGAAGTGAGGTGCCTTACCTGAGTTTACAAAACTATTATATTTGGCTGAAAAGCACTGCTGCCAACAAAAACAAACACATCTTTTCTTGAAAAGATTCCTTCATATCTCTCCTCTGATTAAATTTTTCACCTTGATCACAAAAATCTGTATTTCTGCATTTTTTTTTTTTTGGTCTACTTGAAAAAACAGGTAATTCAGTGAACATGGAGAAAGAAAATGTCAAATAAGATACTAGAAGGTTTTTTTTTTTTAAAGAAAGAATATAATGCACTTTACTCAATTGCATTTTCATAAAATTAAAGAATGGTCATTCAAGTGGAATTTGGCAATTAGTTTTATCCTCTCCTTATTTCCATGTTTTTTTTTTTTTTTTTAAACTAAAACTACCTTGATCATGGTTTTGATTACAAATCCTGAAAACAATTATGGAAATGATCTTTAATATAATAATATATTTTACTGAGTGTCTCAGCTTTTTCATTCCAACAACTGAAACAGAGACAATTCCTTGCATGTTGAAATGTGTAATTATCATGTATCCAAAAGGGAGGGTGTAATTTTCACATCTGATTATAAGGGAAGGGTGTAAGTGAAGCTGCCTGGGTAAACTTACACTTGTTTACAAAGAGCAGTACCTTTGATATGAAAAACTCCAAACATGCAAAACACTGGGAAAAATCAAGATTAATATACACAAAACTAAACAAAAACCTAAGTATTTTTCTTGGCCCAATTACAAAAATAAAGTCAATTCTTCTCAACTTGTTTGGTCTACATATTTCTGATGATTTGGGGGCTCAAACATTATTTTATTTTGCAGGCTTATTGGTGACAGTATTATTAAATGTTAGAAAGCTCAAACACTATATTTAATTTGATAGAAAACTTCAAATTTTTATTATGCTTATAAACTTACATGGTCAGTTTAAACTAGAAAATGATTTTCATCGCAACAGAACACACTTCTCCTAAATTCAACATCACTGCTTGCAAGATGTACATTTTTGATGTTTTTATCTCTCTGCTATTTTTTTTTTAACTTCTGATTTACCTTTGATTAGATCAACTTCTGCTCATGTGAACTTAAGTTTTGGATATGCAGGAAGATATGCTATCAAGGAAAGCCAGTGTTGTGATGGTAGCTATCACTTAGCAAGAAGATGAAAGATAGGTAAAAGGGCGCACAACAGGTAGGAAAAAGAAACTGCCCTAACAGCCAGCACATATCAGGAACAATTTTGAATGATATATACTTATGATTGCTAAGTGATTTTGGTTGATTTTTGAAAAGCTTAAAAAGATTGACACTTAAGGCTGGGTGTGGTGGCTCACTCATGTAATCCCAGCACTTAAGGTGGCCGAGGTGGGTAGATCATGAAGTCAAGAGTTCGAGAACAGCCTGGCCAACATGGTAAAACCCTCTCTACTGAAAATACAAACATTAGCCGGATGTGCTGGCGGGCACCTGCAATCCCAGTCACTCGAGAGGCTGAGACAAGAGAATCACTTGAATCCAGGAGGCAGAGGTTACAGCGAGCTGAGATCACACCATTGCACTCCAGCTTGGGCGACAGAGAAAGACTCCATCTCAAAAAAAAAAAAAAAAAAAAAAAAAGATTGACACTGAATATTAAGTGTGCTTGCCATAAAACAGGCAAAAAAGGGGGAAAAAGAAGAGAAAAGGGGAAAGGTTAAGAAATAGATTTAGGAATAGAAGATACAAACTTATTCATACTGAAAGGAATCCACTAAAAAGTTTTCAGTTATTTATTTAACTTTACAATGACATAGAAAGCAATGAATTTGTTAGAAAGCTATCAGGTTTTCAAATGCAGTACTAATGGCAAAGCTGATTTTGGTATACTTTAAAAATCTGATTGGCTTTGGTTTTTGTTTGTTTTGTAATTTGCCAAAACAAACTTCACAAGTAAGATCTCTGAAAAAGAATTCAAGTTACCAAATGATTAAGATTTAAGGATAATTACAGTAAAAAGATATTTTGTGAAAAAGCACAAGGGTGTGCAATCTTTATTACCTAAAGCATTTCAGCAATACTCAAAGTTGAACTTTTATAAAACCTTAGCTTTTTTTCTTTCTATAGGATTTCATTGTGAACCTTACATGCTGCTTTCCATTAAATAAAAAAGCAAAACACCTGACATGCACCTCCTTCCCCTTCTACTTCAATGGGGGTGTCTGCTCTGCTGTCTCAATGAATGGGTGGGAGATGACATGGATGTGTCTAATAAAGCCAGAGAAGCTTTGGAGGAGAGTGGTAGTTTCCAGGTGGTTCAGAGGCCCACCCAGCTCCACATATCTGTGTCCGCAGCATACCAATCAATGCTTAGTGTACAGCACATTTTTCACTGTGTTGTTAGAGTACATTTGCTTATATTTTGCACGATTTTAATTTAACCATATTGATCAAGCTGAACACTCAATAAGACCCTAGGCACCTCAGGCTTATTAAAATTAGTCAACATGGAGCAAGTAAGTGAGCTTAGGAAGTAATGGAAACTGTTTGGAGATTTAAATACAGTGGAACCCACTTAAATAAATACCTGTTAATGAAATAAATCTATTAAATGAATTTATTTTCTCTGAACCAAATCAAAACACATAGAGTAATACTCAAGGGGACCTTTAAATGAATACTGCTTAAATGAATAAGCATCTTAAATGGACATGCTTCTCTTGAAAGGCAAATAGTATTTTCATGTTCTCTAAGGTTAATTAAAGGAAGAAAATCCATGTTGACTTTTTTTAAAAGACATATTGTCATTCTTTGGAATTAAGCAGAAAAAGTTGCTTAAATAAGACTTTAAATGCTATAAATACTATTTTTCTTAAGGATAATTGTTGGTGTGTGTGTGTGTGTGTGTGTGTCTGTGTGTGTGATGGGCATTGGCTCACGGGAGACACTCTTGAAACAACTGAGCTCATCCATTTGTCAGGCATCTTACCCATGGTAAGTGAAATTAGAAAAACATTAAAGTTTCTAAACTGCCTGCCACAACCCTATGTGACAGAGAAATGCACTGGTTACTTTTAACATATAGTTTATTTGCCTCTTTAGAAAGTGTTGTTCTTTCTCCAGCATGGTTGATTAAAAGCATAAACTCCCTTAATCTAACGATGATTTGTAATAAGAGGCTCTCCTTTGCGCATACATACATACCGGGTGCTCAAAATAATGTTTTAAAATGGCATGAATGTTCTTTTTTATTGCGATAAAACATACAATACAAAATCTACTCTATTATTGTTAACTATGTATGTATTGTTGTTCGGCAGATCTCTAGAATTTACATGAGTGCTATTTAACATAAAGTTTATGTTGGATCACATCTTTAACTGATCAGTCCCTCTTTTCTCAGAGGGGGTGACCTATGGTGGTATGTTATTTTAATGAAAGAAAAAATGCAGCACACGTTGAAGTCTTAAACTAATAATATCTTTTTAAATACAGTGGGGTATACAATCCACAGAGATTTTTTTTCAGACCCCCTTTATTTAGTATTGCCTTTAGAGGGCCTTGTTTATTCATTTTTTTTTCCTCTGGCCTAATAAAGGATATTAACTCTTTTCCCTAAGCAAAAACATTCCTATCATGAATCAGGCAACTAGTGGGAGACTGCTGGCCAGGTTTCACCCCACTAAAATTCTAATCTATACTTTGTCTTTTAGAATTAAGGAGAAAATGCATATCAGCAGAATCTCCTCTCTACTTTATTTCATTTATAAATTACGAGAATGATGCTATTATATATTATTAATTTCTGCTGTTCTCCAACTCTGCTGCAGCAGTGAGCTGCGGATGTTGGAACGGTGTAATTATGTTCTAGTAGGGTAGCCATCCGTTTCCTTTCAAAAATTTACAGGATTCTTAATCACGCTGCTCATTTGGGTGCGCAGCAGCGAGGATGGCGAAACACAAACAGGGCACGTTCGTTTACATAGGAACACCTGCTTAGCATGATAGCAGATGTCAGTCAGTAAGCAGAACACAAAAGGAAAAAAAAATATCAACAACAGCAAACTCGAACCATTTTGATTTGGTGCAAGGAAATCTTTTCAGGACTGATGGCAACAGTGGACATTCCTTCTGAAACACAAACAGAGGCTCTGAAATTCCCAAGTCTTGTTTGTGGTTAACACGTTGTCAGAGAGAAAGGCCATTTTTGCCTCTTGTTGCTTTCTGGTATTCACTCTGACTCTCTTTATTATTTGGGGGAATTATTAAAATTACCCTGCCTCAGTCTCCTGATCAGTAAGCAGACAATGGGTTGGGATATTCTAACTAAAAACCCAGTTCCCTGAAAGTGATGATAATTAGAGGCAATGCAATGGTAAGAGCATGATTCTCCCCAGACCTAGTTCAAATCCCACCACTGTCACTTAGTGGTTGCCTGACATCAGTCAAGTTATTTAACTTTGCTAAGCCACAGTTTCCTGATTTGTCACATCTGCTGAGAAAATTAAATGAGATAATGTATACAAATGCCTGCCACATAATAATGATACAACAAATGGTAGCTATAATATTATTATTAATATCACCACTGTCATTTTCATTATTATTTGGATCCTTACAGAACCTTTCCTATTCAACATACTATTTATTAAAAGTCTGGAATGACTACCAACAGAAATCATGATAAAAGGTGGTATTTTTGATGTGTAGAGTTCTATCACGTTATTACAATGATACTTACTACTAACACTATTATTTTATAGTTAGAGATTCTGACATCATTTCTACTATGTTTTCTGGGATTTATATCCGAGCCACAAAGAAAGTTTTCTGGGCTGTACCCAGCCTAAAAAGAGCCCCAATGAAAGTGAAGTGCTTTCTACGACTCTGACACAATAAAACGAAGCTATGGAAAGGAAAAAATGACAAGTTCATCATCTTCCCATGTCCACCCCGCCCTTACACCTTTCACACTCATTTTTTAAGGACTTTTCGGACTACACTGGTATTTCCCGTTCTCATTCTTTTCCCAAAATGGTTAAAATTCAAAATGGAAAACAGTTATCACACATGGGCAATGACTAATTTTCCTAAGGAATTTTAGTATTCGGAACGTGTCTGCTTGTGCAGGCCTGTGCGATAAAGGCTCCCTGAGTATGCATTGACTTGATACCCAATAATGGCTGCTAAGGAGCCGTTATGTAGTGCCGTGTCAATGATCCGTGCACTGAGGACTCCCCGAGTACGCATTGACACGATAGACCGGAACGGCTCAGAAGAAGCTGTTATGGTCTATCATGCCAATGATGTGCAGATATTGGCAGGGCCTCTGGCCCTTCTGTGGAAATTATGGAGTCTCTGAAGGAGCTGGGGTGGGCGCCATGTGGGCGCCATCGTTGAGCCTAACAGCAGCTCCATTTTCCCTTTGCCTTGGGTTTACTTCAGAAGAGTCAGCTCCGAAAAGTTTTCCAATAACTTCAGTAGTCCCAGTGTTACACCACCAAAACATGAGCAAAAGTGAAAGATATTCTTGCCACTTTGCTTCTCGTTTCTTCTCAGAGAGAGAGAGAAAAACAACAACAACAACAAAAACTAATGCTGTTAATGGAAAAAGGGGCACAAAAGTGAAGGTAACATTTTGTCACGTTTTTGTAAGTTTCAGATTATAAATATATCTTCTCTGCTTTAGCAATTTTATCGTGTGCATATAGATGGTGCTGGGCAGGCTTTTTGTTGTGGTGATGGTGATTTTCAGAGATTGAAACATTAAATGCATGCAAAGAAAACTACCTTCTTTATATGTCCTCAGCAGTTAAATAGGTACTCAGAACTCAGTATATAGGAAATGGTTCAAAAAACCTTGGGAAGAGAAGTGCAAGTTCAAGAATAAAGTTTGGATTCACACATGCTTTACCAACTTAAGGCAGTAATTAATTCACTTATGGTATTTACATGCCCCTCTTCAGATACTTATGGAGAACATGGGAATTTTAAATTCACAATTCAGTGCAAGATTTAAAATGATCTTCATTAGAATTTGAAGCTATACTCTAAACTGCTTTATATACTACCAACAGGGAGCCTCATTATGTAGTACTATATTTGGACTACCTTCTTTACATTTTGTAGCTGTAGATTTTGAATGTATTTCTGGTATGCTTAAGCAGAATCAAACAAAGTGTTTTAATCAACTCTATTAACTAACCAATCCACACAGTTGCGTGGCAAACGTATAGTCAAGAGACCTTGTGCTTCTTCTTTTCTGATGTCTTCAAAGGATCAGGGGAGAAGAGAGATTTGAAATACCCAAGCACAGAATGGTGGCAAAGGATCGCAGAAATACCAAAGTGCTTCACTAAAAAAGATGATGGGAACAAAGAAACAGTCAGATTAAGCAGAAAATAGCTAAAATGATTGTGATTCTAAGTACAGAAGGTACTTCTGCATGCTC